ATTTGTGTAGAGGCTCTCTAGATCAAATGGAGATTAGACAGTTCTGATATTTGTTAATTACATCTGTAGAGTTTTTGCACAATAGGCTTAATGAAAGAATCAACAAAGTTGGAGAGTGGCTCTAGAAGAGAGTCAATACTGGCAACGATGGGTCTGCCCTTAGGTTTGTATAGGCTCTTATGGATCTTAGGTAGTATATAGAACAGGCATGACAGGGAATTTGCAATGAAGGTAGTCAAATTCATGCTTAGAGATCCAGTTCTGATTAAGACCAAATGTCAGATAGTTGTATGGAAGTCAGATGTAGGGTCAGTTCTGAGTTTCCTATAGAAATGTTCATCATCAAGCTGGCAATAAGCCTCTGAACGACTATAGCTCCTCCCTTATTGGCAGGTTTAATGCGTATCTTTAGCAAGTTCCTGAATGGCTAGTTTTTCATCTTGGCTCACATCCTTTGGAGAATAAGTCGGTTTAGACAGAAAAATATTATTATAGTTTAAAACGTCATGTTCCACAATTCTACAGAAGGTGTGAATGGAAAGATTTGATACTTGAGGCATACAGTGCATTTGGAAAGTATTCAGACCCCTTGACTTTTTCCACCTTTTGTTACGTTACAGCCTTATTCTAAAATTGATTCAATAAAATGTTTGCCTCATCAATCTACACACAATACCCCATAATGACAAAGCAAAAACAGGTTTTTAGAAATGTTTTTAGTTTTTTTCTATTTTACTGCCTTTTTCTCCCCAATTTCGTGATATCCAATTGCGATCCAATTACGATCTTGTCTCATCGCTGCAACTCCCCAACGGGCTCGGGAGAGGCGAAGGTCGAGTCATGCGTCCTCCGAAATATGACTCGCCAAACCGTGCTTCTTAACACCCGCCCGCTTAACCCGGAAGCCAGACGCACCAATGTGTCAGAGGAAACACAGTTCAACTGACGACCAAAATAAGCTTGCAGGTGCCCGGCCCGCCACAAGGAGTCGCTAGAACCCTCCCCTAACCCGGACGACGCTGGGCCAATTGTGCACCGCCCTATAGGACTCCCGGTCACGTCCGGTTGTGACACAGCCTGGGATCGAACCCGGGTCTGTAGTGAGATATTCTAGGTCGGGTGAAAAGAAGGACTTGAGTTCCTGTATGTTACTACAATTACACCATGAATCGTTAATCATGAAACACACACCTCCGCCCTTCTGCTTCCCGGAGAGATATTTATTCCTGTCTGCATGATGAACTGAGAACGCATCTGGCTGGACCGATTTCGACAGAATATCCCAAGAGAGCCATGTTTCCGTGAAACAGAGTATGTTACAGGCATTGATGTCTCTCTGGAAAGAAATCTTTGCCCGTAGTTCGTCGACCTTGTTAACCAAAGATTGAACATTAGCAAGTAGAATACTTGGAAGCGGTGGGTGGTGTGCGCGCCTCCTAAGTCGAACCAGCAGGCCGCTTCGAGTGCCTCTCCTCCACCTACTGTATACCTAAGTTTGATTATAAAAAATGTAGCTACAAAGATCGGTCTTTATTTCAAAAGAGTTAGCTTCATGTGGGGACAAAAGAGAGGCCTTTACTTAAGGCAGACAGCTGATGTGTGGTAACTACCTTATCAGATAAGTTGATTACAGCATCCCCGCCGGTTGGCGGGTGAAGGGCCTGATCCTGGGAGCGTGGTTTCTTCTTGCGCCTCCTCGTTTTCCTGTGCCCAGTCTGCCCTTTTTTTTATCTCTGGTGTCCGAGGTCTTGGTGGTAATAGCCGCTCTGATTGGAGTCTGAGTCACTTGGGAAGTCACTGTCTGCCGCAAAGTCCGATTGGTGGTGGGGATGGCTTCCCTTTGGTGGGTTATGTTGTTTCGTGGGGTCCTCATACTGTATGTCCACTTGTAGACTTGGTTAAGCTGGTAATCAGTTGTGTCCCTCTTGTATTTCAACTGACCGAAAGCTCAGCGATATTAAAATAAATGTGCATCTGACTGGAAGACTTTTTCCTGTTTCACCATGGCATTTCTTAAATTACTTGCTAATTCAGTGCCTTCAGAAAGTATTCACACGATTGACTTTTTCTGCATTTTGTTGTTTTACAGCCTTAATTTAAAATGGATTAAATATAGATTTTTTGGTCACTGGCCTAAACACAATACCGCATAATGTCAAAGTGGAATTATGTTTTTTGACATTTTTACAAATTAATAAAAAATGCATTTTTGAATGACTACCTCATCTCTGTACCCCACACATACAATTATCTGTAAGGTCCCTCAGTCGAGCAGTGAATTTCAAACACAGATTCAAACACAAAGGCCAGGGAGGTTTTCCAATGCCCCGCAAAGACAGGCACCTATTGGTAGATACAAAAAAAAAGAAGACATTTAATATTCCTTTGAGCATGGTGTATTAATTACACTTTGGATTGTGTATCAATACAGCCAGTTGCTACAAAGATACAGGCATCCTTCCTAACACAATTGCCGGAGAGGAAGGAAACCACTCAGGGATTTCACCATGAGGCCAATGGTGACTTTAAAACAGTTACAAAGTTTAATGGCTGTGATAGGAAAGAAGGAAGCCTGTACAAAATAAAACATATTCCAAAACATGCATCCTGTTTGCAACAAGGCACTAAAGTAATACTGCAAAAACTGTGGCAAAGCAAATAACTTTTTGTCCTGAATACAAAGTATTATATTATATTATATTATTTTTGGGGCAAATCCCATACAACACATTCCTGAGTACCACTCTTCATATTTTCAAGCATAGTGGTGGCTGCATCATGTTATGGGTATGCTTGTAATCATTAAGGACTGGGGAGTTTTTCACGATAAGAAAGAAACAGAATGGAGCTAAGTACAGGCAAAATCCTAGAGGAAAACCTGGTTCAGTCTGCTTTCCACCAAACACTGGGAGATGAATTCACCTTTCAGCCGGACGAAAACCTAAAACACAAGGCCAAATCTACACTGGAGTTGCTTACCAAGAAGACAGTGAATGTTCCTGAGTGGCCGAGATACAGTTTTGACTTAAATCTACTTGAAACTCTATGAAGAGACCTGAAAATGGTTGTCTAGCAATGATCAACAACCAATTTGACAGAGCTTGAAGAATTTTGAAAAGAAAAATGTGCAAATGTTGTACAATCCAGGTGTGGAAAGATCTTAGAGACTTACCCAGAAAGACTCACAGCTGTAATCACTGCCAAAGGTGATTTTACAAAGTATTCACTCAGGGGTGTGAATATTTATGTAAATGAGATTTTTCTGCATTTTATTTTTTATAAATGAGCAAAAATATGGATAAAGATACATGTTTTCATTAAAACAATTATTTGTCCATTTTTAATTTGGGCTGTAACACATCAAAATGTGGAATAAGTAAATGGGTATGAATACTTTCTGAAGGCACTGTAAGTGCTAGCAAAAACGGAAAATGGAAATGAACGTTTCCAAAACAGATTACATTTCATTAAAGTAGTTTCCCTATTACATAGATGAGGATTAGGGAGAGGCTGTGTTGATGGGCAGGCCAAAATGAGAAAGTGTAGCTGCATGGTATGGATTGTACGGAGTTAGGAGCATCCATGCAGATATGGTTAATGAGGTGTTTAAATATCACTGTGATTCCACAATCAGTGGTCTACAGAGACAATACCCGGATAACAGCATCATTGAAAATAGGAAAATATTGGAATGCAGCATAAGATCCAATCTTGAATACGGTTTAATTAAAAAACCACTTAGACTTGTGCATGGTGTTTCCTTTCCTGTACATTTGACTGAATTAATCTACATTCCCCCTTCCAAAAGAGAGGATGTGATAAAACTCACCAACCAACCCCTTTTCCTTTACAAAGTTGCATTTTTTTCTATTCCTGTTTCTTGAAGTCCTCTGTTATCAGCACTCATAGTTCCTGGTCTATCTGTACTTCCAGAGTCCCAATGAAGCATTTCAAAGGCACTTTGGGATGGATTTTCCTGCAGCTAACACGCTGACTGCAGGCCTCTCTCTTTCTGGTTGGTGAGGGGACAGATTGCTCACACTTCTCCCTCTCCTCTCCCTGCAGGTACTCTGGAAGAACACACTCTCACTGCATGCGTTTAGATAAGGATGGGTTCTAAAACATGTTGGAGAATGCATTACCTTACAGATATGTATACAGTATTACTTGAATCACGACACAGGCATCCTCCTTGGGTGTGATATGAAATAGCTGCGTTTTCTACACCAGAGCAGTTGAGACTTTCTCAGAGGGAATTGTTGTGGTTTACTTTGACTAATGAGCCAATAAGAGAAGTGATGTGTTCTGTAGGATCGAAGTCATTCTCTAGTCTCTTTCCAATCTAATGTTGACATTAAGGATCTATATGCTCTACTGATAATGATCTCCTCACAAATACAATTACCTCATATCTATCTGCCCCAGGGAGACATTTTCAGTATGCCTATATTGTGTTGATGATAAGTGAACCTTACCGCAACAGTTATCTATTGTTGGTAATTCAAAAATATTTCTCAATGGAAAGGCAATATGGCTAAAACATTTAACATGGATTTCACTGTATGGATTTATCATAAGAGGCCAACATCACAGTGGAAGAGTTTCATTTATTTTTATGTACTTTGCATTGTACATGCAAATGGAGGTTGCTATTGCTCTTCACTTGCCAAATATCACAATTCATGGACCATACCGAATCTGGACCGGCAGTAACATTACATGCAAATAAATTGAATCATACAAAAACTGGTATTAATCTTTCTATAACATGTAATTACATATCAGTTTCAACCTTACCCAATGCACTGTCACACAGACCATTACTTTTGTTTACCACACTGTAAAATAGTGGTTGGGGGAAGCTGAGGTGGTATTCCATTACTATGGTATTAGTTGTCTTTGACCCCTATTTTTAGCAATTTACCATCAACTATTCACCTGTTATTAATATGACTGATAAATCAATATAAAACATTGAAACATAAATGCTTTTATAAATAGTCAGTATATTTTTTCCAATTCATATAAACACTCCATCTTCTCAAAAATACTTTCTTGTTCCATAAATGCATGTGCGTGAGAAAAATACGGATCTCAAAACATTAAATCAGTGCCCAACGTCCAACCAGTCTTACAAACAAACAGAAAAAACATAAACAGAAATGACTGACAAAACATGCACCCTTTGAAAATAGAGAGATTCCCCATCAAGGGCTCTGCACCTCCATATTATCTATTAAGTTGTCTTTCTTCAAGAACTGCAGGTTACGGATGGACCTCCACACCCCCACGTAACTGTCACTCACAGACTGGTTGGCCTGGTTCTCGTTATGGAAGGCCTCTCTCTGGAGATCTACAGACTCCATGCTGTTGCTGGTGTCTGGAGGTAGGTAGTCACTGAGGCTCTGATCATTGAGGAGGTGGTCCTGTGTGGGGACCTGTTTAATCGATCCTCCGCCTGACCCTCCGTGACCATTGGGCAGGGGCTCCAGATCTCCGTTGGGTGGCTTCTTCTCGATGTAAGGCTGTCCAGGCAGGCTCTCGTCCTTGCTTTGCTCCTCCAGGTCCTGGTAGAGGGTCTTCCTCCTGGTCTCAAAGTACTTGACGATGCAGTAGGTGATGGAGCCCACCGTGTTGACCACCACGCCGGCAACAAACAGGCTGGTGGGCTCCACGTCGCTGAAGGCCAGCATGCCTACTGTGATGGTGGCGATACTCTTCACCACACCCACAAAGCTGGTGGTGACAGCCGAGTTGATGTAGGTGCATTGTAGCGTGGTGAAGTTCATGGCACAGCCGATGACTATGCAGAGGGAGAAGATGCCTGAGATGAAGGGGTTACTCCAGCCTGTGTAGCTCCACATGTTGATGGAGTCCATGCTGACAATGGAGCAGATTAAGAGAACTGGGGAGGCCATGATGGCGATGGAGTACTGGGCCGTGAGGGGGCCATATTCACTGTCTGTGCTGGTCTTCTGGATCAGGACCAGGTAGGAGGCGTGGATGATCACAGCCAGGACGCCCGTCACGTAGCCATACGGGTCACCCATCACGTCACCAGACCCTGAGTAAACACAGACACAGTGTCAAAAAAACAAGAACAGAAAACAAAAAATAGTGATTACATTAATTTTTGGGGGGTGAAACCTATTGTAAGGTATAATGATGCAATGGCTTAGGGCTCTGAACATTATTAAAAAGTCGTGTGGAGCCACATCTTTAACACACATTCTATCCATATGATTCATTTGGATAGGATGTGTGTTAAATGTATGGTGTAAAGGGGACAGAGCATGGTGCTGAACTTTACTCACAGTAGCAGCAACATTGAGAACAGTTGCATCTGGATACTTTACCAAAGGGACGTTTCTAGAAAAAACTGTGGTAATCACTTAATTTTTATTAAATTTTTTATTTTTATAGTAACCCCATTCGTGTATTTGTAATATTAGCTCTAGGATAGATTATTGCTGGTATGCGGTAGTTTGAAGCCTATACACACTCATCAAAACTTACTGCATAATATGCAACCTATGACTAGGCAATTTAGAATCAATTATAATGTTTCGTTTCTACTTTACCTAACTGCATCAGTAGAAGTTAATGTTATTTGAATAAGTGTAATTTTACCAGCTAAAGCTGTTCCTCCAGTAGTGATGAGCACCGCCGTTATGACCCCCACTGACGGGATACCGTCCTTCAGAAAGCACACGCCGATGCCTAGGGTGACCAACGGTAGACACCGTTTAAAAACAACATACATGGGTAGACTCAGTCCTCTGAGAGACCATAGTGTTAGAGTGGACTGTAATGTGGACAGAATACAAACACCTCCGAAGACTTTGGCTAGTTGAAGACTGAACGGAGGTATGTCTACTTTGCCCAGTCTCCTCAGTATCTCCAGTGTAATCGCCGCCAGCGTGCTGGTGAGGCACTGGATGAGAGTGAGGTAGTTGAATTTATAAGTCGTGATGAGAAATTTTAGTAAAATGTTCAACGATCCCGAGAAAAATCCATGAGCAACAGCGACTGAGATACCAAGTAAACGACCTTTACAAACTTCCATGCTTGCCTTGAATTTCCCTTTACGAAAGAGCAGGAAAAGGAAAATAGCGGTGTCTTTTTGAGCGCTTAGTCCCTTGGAATAAAGTTGTGTAAACACTGTACAGTCTTCCTCCTTGAACGCACAGCTATAAATGTCCAATTTATTAATGTCAGGAAAATGTTTTAATTACAAGCAGGACCTTTCAATATAAAGATGTCCGTAAAAGCAAATAGAGACTGGTCCTAAAACGTTGAAGAGAAAAAAATCTTGGGTATTCTGATCGTCTGTTTAAATATGCAGCCAGCTAGCATGCGTTTTTCATCAATTAAATTACCTGTTATGTTGGAGAAATTCTAGCTTTCTTTCTTTTCCTTCACATGCTGTTGGACACAGCAGAGAGAGACTAGAGACTGCGAAAATAGCTGTTGGGAAAGAACTAAAGTACAGTGCGACGTGCATATGAGTAAGCCCACCAGTATGTCCCTCTAGCAGCAGAGAGCTGCATGGCCACAATTCTTAATTAAGTGCAGAAGTTGCGCTGTGGAATAACACATTTACCGCAACAAAGGTTGCCTTTTACTCACAATCAAGGGGTCATTCCACGAAACCGGTACGATTTGAGTCCCTCTGACATTTTAAAGTATATTTTAAGTATTGGGTCTAATTTATAAAGCATTTTTTTTATGTACACTACATGACCAAAAGTATGTGGACACCTGCCCGTCAAACATCTCATTCCAAAATTATGGGCATTAATATGGAGTTGGTCCCCCCTTTGCTGCTATAACAGCCTCGACTCTTCTGGGAAGGCTTTCCACTAGACGTTGGAACATTGCTGCAGGGACTTGCTTCCATTCAGCAACAAGAGCATTAGTGAGGTCTGGCACTCATGTTGGGCGATTAGGCCTGTCTCGCGGTCGGCATTCCAATTCATTCCAAAGGTATTCGATGGGGTTGAGGTCAGGGCTATGTGCAGGCCAGTCATGTTCTTCCACACAGATCTCGACAAAACATTTCTGTATGGACCTCACTTTGTGCATGGGCATTGTCATGCTGAAACAGGAAAGGACCTTCCCCAAACTGTTGCCACAAAGTTGGAAGCACAGAATCATCTAGAATGTCATTGTATGCTGTAGCGTTAAGATTTCCCTTCACTGGAACTAAGGGGCCTAGCTCGAACCATGAAAAACAGCCCCAGCCCATTATTCCTCCTCCACCAAACTTTACAGTTGGCACTATGCATTGGGTAGCGTTCTCTTGGCATCCGCCGAACCCAGATTAATCTGTCTGACTGCCAGATGGTGAAGCGTGATTAATTACTCCAGAGAACGTGTTTCCATTGCTCCAGAGTCCAATGGCGGTGAGCTTTACCCCACTCCAGCCGATGCTTGGCATTGTACATGGTGATCTTAGGCTTGTGTGTGGCTGCTCAGCCATGGAAACCCATTTCATGAAGTTCCCGACAAACAGTTATTGAGCTGATGTTGCTTCCAGAGACAACCTGGACCCTTTCTTTCTAAAATTAGCCGCCAAAATTGTCGCAACCCCTATTACTAGCCTGTTCAACCTCTCTTTCGTATCGTCTGAGATCCTCAGAGATTGGAAAGCTGCCGCGGTCATCCCCCTCTTCAAAGGGGGTGACACTCTAGATCCAAACTGTTACAGACCTATATCCATCCTGCCCTGCCTTTCGAAAGTATTTGAAAGCCAAGTTAACAAACAGATCACCGACCATTTCGAATCCCACCGTACCTTCTCCGCTATGCAATCTGGTTTCCGAGCTGGTCATGGGTGCACCTGTTCAAGGTCCTAAACGATATTATAACTGCGATCGATAAAAGACAGTACTGTGCAGCCATCTTCATCGACCTGGCCAAGGCTTTTGACTCTGTCAATCACGCATTCTTATTGGCAGACTAAATAGCTTTGGTTTCTCAAATGACTGCCTTGCCTGGTTCACCAACTACTTCTCAGATAGAGTTCAATGTGTCAAATCGGGGGGGGGGGGGGGGGGGCTGTTGTCTGGACCTCTGGCAGTCTCTATGGGGGTGCCACAGGGTTCAATTCTCGGTCCGACTCTATTCTCTGTGTATATCAATGATGTCGCTCTTGCTGCTGGTGACTCTCAGATCCACCTCTACGCAGACGACACCGGTTTGTATACATCTGGCCCTTCACTGGACACTGTGTTAACAAACCTCCAAACGAGCTTCAATGCCATACAACACTCCTTCCGTGGCCTCCAACTGCTCTTAAACGCTAGTAAAACTAAATGCATGCTCTTCGATCAAACGTTGCTTGCACCCGCCGCCCGACTAGAATCACTACTCTCGGCAGGTCTGACTTAGACAACTACAAATACCTAGGTGTCTGGTTAGACCTTAAACTCTCCTTCCAGACTCACATTAAGCATCTCCAATCCAAAGTTAAATCTAGAATCGGCTTCCTATTTTGCAACAAAGCCTCCTTCACTCATGCTGCTAAACATGCCCTCGTAAAACTGACTATCCGACCGATCCTTGACTTCGGCGATGTCATTTACAAAATAGCTTCCAACACTCTACTCAGCAAATTGGATGTAGTCTATCACAGTGCCATCCGTTTTGTCACCAAAGCCCCATATACTCCCCACCATTGTGACCTGTACGCTCTCGTTGGCTGGCCCTCACTACATATTCGTCGCCAAACCCACTGGCTCCAGGTCATCTATAAATCCCTTCTAGGCAAATCCCCGCCTTATCTTAGATCATTGGTCACCATAGAAACACCCACACGTAGTATGCGTTCCAGCAGGTATATCTGACTCGAATGAACTGCAAATATCTCTGAAGCTGGAGACACTTATCTCCTTCACTAACTTTAAGCATCAGTTGTCAGAGCAGCTTAACGATCACTGCACCTGTACACAGCCCATCTGTAATTAGCCCACCCAACTACCTCATCCCCATATTGTTATTTACATTGTTATTTATTTTGCTCATTTGCACCGCAGTATCTCTATTTGCACATCATCTTCTGCACATCTATCACTCCAGTGTTAATACTAAATTGTAATTATTTTGCACTATGGCCTATGTGTTGCCTTACCTCCATAACTTACTACATTTGCACACACTGTATATAGATTTTCTATTGTGTTATTGACTGTACGTTTTGTTTATTCCATATGTAACTCTGTGTTGTTGTTGTTTTTATCGCACTGCTTTGCTTTATCTTGGCCAAGTCGCAGTTGTAAATGAGAACTTGTTCTCAACTGGCTTACCTGGTTAAATAAAGGTGAAATAAAATAAAATAAATAAAAAGAGGCAGTTTGGAACTCGGTAGTGAGTGTTGCAACCGAGGACAGGTGATTTTTACACGCTACGTGTTTCAGCACTCGGCGGTCCCGTTCTGTGAGCTTGTGTGGCCTACCACTTCGGGGCTGAGCTGTTGTTGCTCCTAGAAGTTTCCACTTCTCAATAACAGCAAAAAAGATAGAAAACAATTACTTATCAAAACTTATTTATTGCAAAAATATATGCAATTTCCTAATTTCATGCATGCCATGTGGTCTCCTGTTGTTCACCACATGAGGAGCACCACTCAACCCAGTCACACTCAACCCCATGACTTGTTTGATCATAACAGAGTTGTGAGACTGTGACAGGGTTGAGTTTGTCACTTTGTTTGTGAAGTTATCCAATTATTCAAATAAATTATTGTTTATCTTTATTCTTATAACCACATGCATATGTTGACTGTAATGTTCTCCATGTTATAGGTCGACTTTGGGTAAAAAATGAATAAATAACGGCTTTAAACTGTATAACGGATCAATGCACCATCATACCAGGTCATTTAATGCAACAAAAATGTAATAAAATGGATGAATAAGATATGTGGCTACAGAAGTGCCATTTCTTACCGATCTCTACAGCTTCCGTCCAAAAACAAATCCTGTGAAATGACGTGAACACATACAGGAGGAGTTACTGGCTAGCTACAGTGGCTAGCTTAGCTAATGTACTAGCTACGCATGACCAGAATGACATATTGATGAACCACCAAAGGCACATCCCATTTCTGTTTGAAAATTTTGAAAGAGGCTGAGTTGGACAATTTTTCGTGCCCTAAGTCGAACTTTAAGAATATATACCAGTGGAGACTGCTGAGGGGAAGACGGCTCATAATAATGGCTGGAACAAGGTAAATGAAATGGCATCAAACACATGGAAACCATGTGTTTGATGTATTTGATACCATTCCAATCATTCCGCTCCAGCCATTACCACAAGCCTGTCCTACCCAATTAAGGTGCCACCAACCTCCTGTGATACAGTGGGGAAAAAAAGTATTTAGTCAGCCACCAATTGTGCAAGTTCTCCCACTTAAAAAGATGAGAGAGGCCTGTAATTTTCATCATAGGTACACGTCAACTATGACAGACAAATTGAGATTTTTTTTCTCCAGAAAATCACATTGTAGGATTTTTAATTTATTTATTTGCAAATTATGGTGGAAAATACGTATTTGGTCACCTACAAACAAGCAAGATTTCTGGCTCTCAAAGACCTGTAACTTCTTCTTTAAGAGGCTCCTCTGTCCTCCACTCGTTACCTGTATTAATGGCACCTGTTTGAACTTGTTATCAGTATAAAAGACACCTGTCCACAACCTCAAACAGTCACACTCCAAACTCCACTATGGCCAAGACCAAAGAGCTGTCAAAGGACACCAGAAACAAAATTGTAGACCTGCACCAGGCTGGGAAGACTGAATCTGCTATAGGTAAGCAGCTTGGTTTGAAGAAATCAACTGTGGGAGCAATTATTAGGAAATGGAAGACATACAAGAGCACTGATAATCTCCCTCGATCTGGGGCTCCACGCAAGATCTCACCCTGTGGGGTCAAAATGATCACAAGAACGGTGAGCAAAAATCCCAGAACCACACGGGGGGACCTAGTGAATGACCTGCAGAGAGCTGGGACCAAAGTAACAAAGCCTACCATCAGTAACACACTACGCCGCCAGGGACTCAAATCCTGCAGTGCCAGACGTGTCCCCCTGCTTAAGCCAGTACATGTCCAGGCCCGTCTGAAGTTTGCTAGAGTGCATTTGGATGATCCAGAAGAGGATTGGGAGAATGTCATATGGTCAGATGAAACCAAAATATAACTTTTTGGTAAAAACTCAACTCGTCGTGTTTGGAGGACAAAGAATGCTGAGTTGCATCCAAAGAACACCATACCTACTGTGAAGCATGGGGGTGGAAACATCATGCTTTGGGGCTGTTTTTCTGCAAAGGGACCAGGACG